AGAAGAAGAAGAAGAAGAAGAAGAAGAAGAAGAAGAAGAAGAAGAAGAAGAGAAGGAGAAGGAGGAGGAGGAGGAAAGAAGGCAAACAAACGAAATCTTTGTCATAACCAAGAAGCCACAAACTTCTATGATTTTGACATGCAAAGGCCACACACTAGAATAAGCAGAGATTTACTCTCTATTTTCTGGCCATTGCTAGATTTCAGTGCATCAACTTCCTTGAGCACTCATAACAAAGTGTCACAAACTGGGTGCCTGCTTACTTCATAGAACAAGAGCGTTGATCCACAGGGGAGGTCTGCCAAGCTGCGCTCCCTCCAAAGGCTGCCGAAAGACCTGTTTCCAACCTTTCCAGCTCCTGCTTGCCTCAGGCCCTCCCGGCTTGGACAAGCTCTGATCTAGGTCCCATCTCCACAAGGCCTCCTCCCTGTGTCTGTCTCTATGTCTCGGTTCCCCTCTCGTATACTCAACAGGCAGACAGAATTAGGAGCTACCCTAAATACCTTATTTTAACTTGTTTATGTCATCTGTAAAGGCCTTATTTTCAAATAAAACCCTCTCTGAGGTATGGGACTTAGAATTTAACACATTGTCCGGGGAAACACAGTTCAGCTAGTAACAGCAGCAGCCTACCTTAAAACTTTTTTTCAGTGTACTGAGGACACCTTCTCTGGTCTGTGGGTCTGGGTGTGGGTGGGATATCCTATGATGACATTCAAACAAATGGCCAAGGAGAACTGCTCACTAGGATATAGCAGCCTAGCCTTTCACAGCTTCTGCTTTTTCTACTTCCTTTACACACCCAGGCACAAATGTCCTCCAGTTTCCCTGAACCAAGCAGAAATGTGGTTTGTACTTTAAACTGAGATTTTTTTCTTTCTTGCCAACGATCTCATTTGGCACTGGGAAGCCTTTGAGCTGGGACACATTTTCTCATGTAAATGCTGTCTCTCACCTGTCACAAAAATTTACCCTCCTTCCCTTTTTATGGGGTTGGGGATTGGACCTCAGGCCTTATGCATGCTAGGCAAACACCCCCCCACTGGGACACAACCCCTTTTCCTTATTATTGAAGGGAGTTGGGGGAGGTGCTGGAAGTAAGCGACATAGATGACATTAGTTGCCCAATGTAATTCACACCCATTATCTTACAGTCACATGTAAGACTTAAAGTGATCTTTAAGTGTTTTTGAAATCCTGCGATGAAAAGAGCAATCGCTGGGTTGGGTTGTCATAGTATTTCCCAAATAATATCAGAGCATATTAGGGTTAATGAACATCTGGGGTTCTCCTAATTTTCTAGGCAATATTCATAACAAACCCATGATACAAGCCTTACCCTCCAGGGCTTACAGATTGATTAATCATCCTTCATTTCCATAGCACTCCTGCCCCCACAGCTTGCAGCCTCCCCAGTGAGGGCAACAGACATGAGGAGCAGATGAGAAAAACAAAAAAGGATCAAAGAGTAGGGAAACTCCACAAGTGGTCTCTGGGAGGAGAGGGCATAGGTCCTTGTTTAGCTGGCTTCCAGCTCTTCGCACAGATCCCAGGTGTAGTAAAATATGATTTCATTTACAGGTTAGGCCAGTTTTGAGAATCTTGTTTGAACATCCTGTTTTGGGTTTTTATTTCCAGTTATTCTAGTTGGGTAAGGCTAGGGTAGATAAATTGGATCCAAGGTGAAATTTCTCAGTCTCACCTGTGGCTACAAAGGCTTCGGTGCAGGTGGGACTTAAAAGGGAATGAGGTGAGAGGAAGCTTACAGGAACAAGATGAGAGATGGAGCCAAGCCCTCTTTCTTGCATACACTAGATAGAAGGATTCGTGCAAATAGAAATAGGAGAACTGGATGGTCATTTTTTTTCCTGCCACTTTTCTTTCCAGTTTGAAAAAAAAAAATTCTTTTTGGTCATTTACTACCATTGCACAAAGTTAAATAATGCAGAGAAAGTTAAAGTTACCACAGTTTTAACCCCTCATGTCTGTCTGGAAGATGGCCACATTGTTAGGTCAGCTAAAATTTCTTCCAGGCTTTAAAAACATTTATTTATTTAGTTAGTTAGTTAGTTAGTTAGTTAGTTAGTTAGTTAGTTATTTGTGGGGGGAGTGCATGGCACAGTGTACTTGTGAATGTCAGAGGACGACTTTCAGAAGTCCCTCATCTAGCAGTATGGATCCCAGAGATTGGACCCAGATCCTCAGCCTTGGTGACAAAGGATCCCCATCCATCCCCACACCCCTCTTTTCCAAGTCATTAACATACTCCGTACCAAAGCCTTCTTTTCTGATATTGCAGGTAATTGTTTTTCACACCAAATCACACAGAAGTAACCTGTGCTTTTAAAAACCATGTTTTAAAACAAACAAGTCTTACATGTACTCCAACTGCAAAGAGATGTTAACAATCAAAGCGAGTCTTCCATATCTGATCCGTGATCCTTTGCTCCAAAGCTAAGCATCGTAATGACTAGAATGGCTTCTGAGGGAGTTCTAGAAGGCACAGCTCCTTGTGTGTACCTCCATCCATATGCACACAGAAAACACGTGCTTGGCCCTGCCCTTGGCTTTATGTACGATGGCTTGAGATTTTAAAGAGTCAGGAGGGAGAGAGGAATGAAGGGGCTAGGAACAAAATACACTATTGACAGGCACACCTACAATGCTTATTCCCCAACTAGGCTCCTTCTCCCCGCTTCCATCACCTCTAAGCTCACTGAGCTACACACCTGTAAATAAGGTCAGAGTCCTCATTATCCAGTCGCTTCCCAGCAGGCCTCACCTCTGAACGCTGCTGGATTGAGACCGAGCCCTCAGCACAGCCTTTGGGGGTTGTTTTAGATGGTAGTCCTCTCTGTTATCAGGGTCACTGTTGGGTGAAGCCTTTCGTCCAACTGACTCTTGTTTTACTTAATGGTTGCCTCCGAAGCTGATGCTGCTGGTGTAGGTAGGCCAGGGAGAAGCCGTGAAGTGTGCCCTTTAAGTGAAAAGATAAACACTCTCAATAAGGAAGAACTCATATACTCAAGTTGTAAAGGACTGCAGCAAACTACTACTGATCTCTTACTGGGCCCAGTTTATAAACAAAATCTTACCATAGCAAAGAGGCCCGCAGCAGATGTAGGGTTTGGTACTACTGGCAGCTTCCGGTATCCACTGAGGATCCCTTGTGGAAAAGGAGAGACACCTGTAAATTGGGTGAAAAATTGAAATCAGAAAGAGGTAGGAGGGCAGACAGCTCATTGTCTGGGTCTCTTATATACTCGATATACTGTCTAAGGCACACAAAAAGGACAACTAATAAAAATTGCATCTTTGAAGACCTTCACTCAACCCTCACTGATTCTTCCTCTGCCTTAAATCACTGGTGTTTTCTCCCAGTACTTAAAAACAAGCCCCTTACAGAGCCGATGACATCATGACGGTCAGAGCTGCATTCATTTCCCTCCTGCAGACATTTTCCTTCTCGATGAGTGGCCTCCTTGTTCAAATACGGAATTCACTGATCATAAAATGGATTTTATCCAGACACAAAACATGAACAAATGAACTCATGGGAAGTGACCCTTGAAGCTCACACCAACCCTCAAGGCTTAAAAAGGACTTTCTATTTCATTAGCTTCATATAAGCCATAATAATAAAACACAGGGCACCACCCAACGGTTTGAAAACCACAAGAAGCATGCTCCATAGCTCCTCCCAAGCCTTGTTTTCTTAACCTAACTCCCTCCTAGGATTTACTGCCTGTCCGCTTGGCCCCTCCCTAGGAGTCATAGTCCTTCTGTTGAGCCAAGGGTTCCGTCTTTGTGTTTGCAGAGCACGCTGCCATGCCTACTCTTATCACTCACTGTGCGACTTTGACATTGAATTGGGCCTTCTCCCAAGCCCGATTGCTAGCTCCACAGGTCGTCCCCATAGACAGACTAGTCCTCACACCCCTTGCCACTTTGTAGGCTGTCAGTCAGTATCTATTTTGCTGTGGAACTGCTAATACTTTGGACCATACTAAGAACGACCTGGTGTTTACCGGCTCACTTACGGCAAACACTGCTGACTGCCTGCCTAACCAGCCAGCGCTGTTCCTCCTCACTTTATGTGGAGTTCTCATTTTATTTGGAGCATGTGCCTAGGATTACTTCCCTTAACACTCTGGCATGAGGACATAATGGGTGATAGGTCTAGCCAACCTTGGCAATTACTTTCCTGGCTCATGGCCCATTCCCAGCCAGTAAGGTACTAGAGCTTTGGCAAAAGGCTTTTCTCGTACTACAGAGAGACTCATGAGTGGAAACTGGTTATGATGTTGCATGGGGCATCAGGAGCTATTGCAGTGCAAATGGGCTGTCTACCAAAGGCTGCAGAGGAATCTTGATCGGGCACTGGGACAGAAGCCACCTGCCTGCGGACTTTTAGCATGACAGACAATCCCTGGTTGCATGTAATATTACACCCACCAACAAGGATGGGGGGGGGCTGTAGAGTTGGTTCAGTGGTTAAGAGCGCTTATTAACTTCCCAGAGGACCTGGTTCAATTCCCAACACCCGCACGGAGGTTCACAGCCATCTGATCCAAGACAGTATATATGCAGAACACTCATACACTTCATACACGTGAAATAAAATAAATAAAAAAATCAATCAATCAATTAATTAATTAATAATGAAGAAGATGCAGAGGGGAGCCAAGTATCTTCTATCAGAAAAAATTGAGTGGCAATAAAGGTTAAAAAAAAAAACAAACAGAATTTATCTTACGACAGGGAAAACCTTATGAATGAACTTGGGGTTTAATTTTTTTTCTATTATATTGTATTACTTTGTGGTATGTCCCTGTGTGTGCATGCCTGTGTCTATGCACGCATGCATGTATGCGTGTGTGTGTGTGTGTGTGTGTGTGTGTGTGTGTGTGTGTATGTGTTTCAGGAGGAGCCATATTGCCACAGTGTGCAGTTGGAGGTCAGAGGACAATCTGTGAGATTCCTAGCTCTTTCCTTCCAGTGTGTAGGTTCTGTAGACCAAACAAAGGTGACAAGGCTTGGCGCTCAGGACCTTTATCCATTGAGCCATCTTGCCAGGCCATGAACTCAATTTTCAAATTCTTGGGAGGTTTTACCACGAGGATACCATGAAGATATCTCCACGACTTCTGAACACCTAAGGGAAAAGGAAATAGAACAAACTGGCTGCATTTAAAGGAGAACTTGCCTACGAGAATGATCAGATGAGCGGCCGAGGAAGATTCTGTCCTTTGGAAAATGACAAGACAGGGCCAGGGTGACTCTCTGAAGCGTTTATTGATTCACTTACCTAAAAGCAATGGGAATAAGCAGACAATAACTTGCAGTTTGTAGTTTTATGATACTCTGGGGGAGACAGGCTCCTGCAGTTTAAACAGAGGCTCAGCTATAGACCGGCACAAGCATCGTTAAGCTCTAGGTTTGACCTTGCGAAGCTGGAAATACCTGTTCCAGCACTATCAGGCTGGAGCATCAGCCTGGCATCCACTGTATAATTTACGTTGAGCACACACTGCTTTATCAGGGCTTGGCAATTAGTCACATGCCCAGAACAAGGACATTGCATGAGAAATGTAGCCTCAGGGACAGTGGCTGATTATTTCCCGGGTGCTTATTAGTAAGGCTGATGCTAATTCCAATCCACTTTTCCCTTTCAGGAGGCTGGAGTAAGTATTGGATTTGGACAGTTCCTATGACCACGTCTGCTACGGAGCAGCTCTGCTTGGGACCACAGGCTCCCAGATCCAAGACCTGGACTAAGGGAAGTACTCAGATAAGTGCCGTGGCAGGTTGATTTACCAGCTGTGAAATTATGGGGCTAGATCATAATTAACCTGAGACAACAGCTTAACCCTCCCCTTACAACCAATTTATAGAAATGTTATTATTATCCAGTCTTTGCATTACCCCAGAGCAAATCTAACTACAATAAAGGCATATTAATCATTTTTCAAATGATTGATTTGATTATGCTTGCACTTCTTTGTTCTACTGAGATGGTCACTGGGGATTTTTTTTTTTTCTCCTAAAACTTGTAGAACAAAGGTTAAAATGTAGGTGCCCTGTATTGGCATGTAGCATCCCTTCACAAATCATCTAGCCTTCTTCCTGGTACCAGGCCTTTCCAGAACAGCCTCAGCTGACAGATAGTTTTGGCAGTTGGGGCTCTGTCCCAGGCCACCTGCTTCCCTGGCCTCATGTATGTTTTCCCACTCCTTCCTTCCTTTTGTCTTTCATTTTTAAAGACTTTTCCCAATCCACCCTCCCCATAAAGCAGAGGCTGACCTTGAACTTCTGATCCCCTGTCTTCTTTGCTAGAATTACAGGGGTGCCCACTGTGCTCAGTTTTGTGAGTTCCTCTGCACCCTGGCCTGATGTTTTGCCACACTGGAGACACTGAAAATGTCTCAGAGTTTGGACTGACCTCCCTGCTAGCAGAAGAGCTGTCTGGGGCCTGGACAAGCTGCCCGGGGCCTGGACAAGCTCCCCGGGGCCTGGACAAGCTCCCCTACGACCGCTGCTGCCTTCCCTTTGCCACTCTTCTGTCTCAGCCCATGCCTCCAGGAGCTGAAGGAGCTCCGTGTGCTGATCCAGGGCCAACTGCTCAGACCTTCACGCTGTCCCTTCAGCCTGTGAGGACTGAGCAGAGTGCTGGCACCTCCCAAGCTGCCCCAGAGCCACCAAGACCTGGGGACAAAATGTTGGCTGCCATTTGATGCCACTGTATCTGCAGCTTGCTGTTTCTTCTCTAGGAGCCCCAGTTTTTTACAAAACAAGGGCTAACACTGTTTGTGACAGACCTCTCAAAAGACAGTTACATATCACTCAATGTCTCCATGGAGAATATCTTTTCATAACAATCAGGAACATCTGATGTCTGCACCCAGCATTTGGCACTAGCCAGCATGTGCCTCCCGAACTCCGGTCAATTCCTTTTAAAGGACCAAAACAATCCTGGCAAAACAGTTGAAACACCCAAGGCCTTACCTAGTCCTAGGGTACACAGGACAACTCAGTGCCTTTTTCTTCTAGATGGACAGAGGCCAGACCACATGCCTGCAGGGCCACTGGGAAGGTGGGTCAGATAACATCTACATGGAAAGTGCTGAGGCGTGCTCACCTCTGCCAGGTTGCAATCACCCTGATCCTGGGGCAACGGCTGCTCTGTCCAGCTTTGAACAAGAGGGTACGGCAGGTGAGAGGGAAGCCAAACACCCCGTTCCCTGGGCACACCGAAGCTCTCAGAAACACTGGCAGGGAAAGGACAGCAGCACCCAGGGTAGCCGCAGCAACTGGCTGCTTCTGAGTTCAGAATGAGATTCCAGGGAACGACTTTCCGCAGCCTCTGGAGGCCACTAGCTACCGAGTCACAGGAGTCACGGGGGAACTCATCAGCAGCCCCTGTGGCCACCCCTTTGAACCACTATTTCCTTTCCGGAAGACAGGATACCACTACCTAGTGCATTCCGTTCGGGAGGCTACCACGCAAACTCGGAGAACGATGCATATTAGTTGGACCATATTTGCTTTTCTCTCACTTCTTATCTAGAAACAAGCAAGGTTAAGAAAGAAACGCCTGGCTCTATCTGCCTGCCACAAGGCAGTCTAGTTGCCTTTCCACAAGGCTGAATTATGGATTGGGAGCTTTGAGAAAAGATGGTAGGATTGGTTCTATTTTTAAGGAACAGCTTAGCCATGGCTCAGTGCTTGCAGTTCGTGGAGCCACTAAGCCATGCTATTATATAGAAATAGTATTAACTTTTATTTATGTAGCTCTTAGAATGTTTTTCTTTTGTTTTTTTGTT